CAACCTATCTCAACGAGGAGAAAACACTATTTTAAATACGTCCGCGCTTTAAATTTTGCAAATATTTTCATCGCTCGAGTAAAATTTTTGCCCTGATATTTTCTTTCAACGAGTGTTCAATAACAAACAACACAAGCTATTACATGTGATATTTAACAAATATAAAACATTTTCCGTGTTGATATACAGTTATATCAACACGAGTGGAAATTGGGAAAACGGAAATTGTGTGGAAACACGACGCCCGAAGGGCGGAGTGTTTTCACACAATTTCGAGTTTTCCTCATTTCCACGAGTGTTGATATAACTGTATATCAATACGGAAAAAAATGTTATATTTGTTTTATAATATAGCACAAAGAAACATAAAGAAAGAAATTTTCCGACGTTTCCGTGTTGACATTGAGTTAGCTACATCAACGCGGCTCTTAGCCAATCAGCGTTCAGAATTTACAAATGCTATATTATAAAACTTATTAAATAATATTTCAAATTTTAATTAACGAAACATAATTACTTAGCATTTAAATCCTTTGTTTTCTCGTTTGCTTGTTTACATTTTTTGTTGCCATCTTGTACGCGATTTTCTGAATTTTTTAGAGAAAGCGCGCTCGCGCCAATCCTAATGTGCATCACACGTAGCACAGTAATTTATTAGCGCGTTTCACCGCCCGTGTTTTATAGCGCCCTGATAAAAACAATAACAAAAGCGCGCGATAGCGTAGTGTCCCACTAATCCTTGAAGACAAAAAGGGGAAAAGTTGCAAAAAGTGCCCTATTTGTGTCTGCCCGCTTAAAATGTACATGCAAAACAAACGGACTGTGCGAGTGTAGGTAGAGACGATAACAAGGTGACTGCGGATTGCGAGAAATACAATTAACTACCTGAAAAATACAAGCAGTACTTTGACAAAGTTTCGACTGAGGCAGACTGAGTTTCGTGCGAGGGCTACTACATGTAACTTCGCGACAAAGCGCATTCGCTCCAACACGTCGACGTTCTACTTGTATTTCCAGGTAGTTGTATCTCTTGCAATCCTCAATGGACTGAAAACTATACTCAGGGCCGTTGCGAGGACTTTACCTTTGGGGGGTGTGAGGTTAGATTTACCTGAAGTTATCCAACTTGACGTTTTTGCCTGATTTTGCGACCCATGCATGCCGAGAACATTTCAGTCGCTAATTAGTATTTTCCTCCAAAAATTGTTGGCGTGGGGGGGGGGGGGGA